CGGTGGTGTCGGCAGTGGCCTGTGGGGAAAGCGAAGAAACGCAGAAGCTGGTGATGGCTTGGATTCCCAGACGCGTACCAGTTCCCCATCGAAACAAATCGTACAGGACTGGTTGCCCCACCAGGAGGGTCGAATGAGGGCAGCACTACCTGCCACTGCGCCATTTTCGCTAGGAGCATTTAGGATAAAGCAATTTGTGACTAAATTTGTAAAAAAAGATACTTAGTTGGGCGAGTTCCTTGGAGGCGGTGTACAGGCGACTGTTATTAGATGGAGAGTTGAAGCTAAAGGCAGAAGAGCGGGATGCAGCAGTAGCCAGCGTGTTGGAACATTTTAGTAACATCGAATCTCTTCACCATGCCATACTGTTGTAGCCAGTGATATGTCACATTATTATGATTAATTACCTTCACTTGGTATTTCATAAACTAGATGCTTTCTCAATGATTCGTTACACCTTGTTACATTATAATTATATGACAAACTTTTGCCTTCTGATGATTCTGGATTTCCAGCCAGTGAATTATTTTTTTGGCTACACCCACAATCTCTAGGCATTTCATGAGTTATCTCTTTTGACAGACGGTATCAGGCCACTCAAAGTGTGCTGTGGCGCGAAGCATTTTCTTATGGCTCGCTTTTTATGCGTTTTGTGCTGTGTAACAGCATTACCAAGCGCATATTGTTACGGGGTTGTCTGTGTGTGTGTGTGTGTGTGTTTGTGCGTGTGTCCCACATTTTGTTTCGCACTTTCAACTCGGGAACCACAAAAGCTAGGCGACTGAAATTTTTGTTCCCCGCCAGCGGTTGACGCGGCAAATTTAAATTCAGTCTCCCCGTACTTGCGTGTAACAAGTACGGCCCCGTGAAGGTTTTTTACATTAATATCTCAAGAACCACGAAGTCCGGGAGGCTGAAATTTCAGGGTAATGGCCCCCTGCCCACGCTCAACCCTGCCCATTCAAATTCAGCGTTCCCGCGCTCTTGAGTATCACCTACGGCCTTGTGAAAATTTCGGCGGGTAAACTATCAACTCGGGAATCGCGGGAAGATTTTCAGCTTTTTTTTTCAGCTTTCATGCGCTGGTGCATGAAATTTTTAACTATTTTCCAATTTTTGAACTATTTTTGCATAGAAAAAAGTTCAAAGCAATGAAAATCATTAATAGGCAATCGTTCGATGGGTTGAATGGTACAAAACGCATGATCGCACCGGCTAGTCTGGTGCGCGTTGCTATTTGTTCTTATTTCAGCTGAGAAAGGAGTACGATAAATTAGCGAAAGAGAAGGGAGACGAAAAACGACGAAGAGACTACGCGACAAGTTCGAAACTGTGGAAGCAGCACATGGCCCGGCCAGCACCACGTAAACGACGAGCTTAAGCCCCCGCACTGTGGCGTCTACGCTGGCAAGCTCAGTTTCGCATGGCCTCTTCCGCGAATTTTTTTGGATGGTTTCTCCTTTTGGAACCTTTCGTAATTTCAAAATTTGTGCAGTAGGCAAACAAATCCAGGTACTTTTTTTAAGCCAAAATCCACTCTAGTTATTTTCTGTTCTGAGAAATCTCAGATCAATAAGTAGCTGTACGCACCAAGCACAAGCGCAATTATTAATTTTCATCAAAAGCTACGTTGACTGTCCAGTTGGCTAAGCGAGCCGTTACAAACAGGGCTTTACCGTGATGCCCTAGTTGAATAATAACAACAATTACATGTAATTCCGGGTTTATATCTTGCTTTTTGGTTTTTTAATATCGATCCATATTAG